TGGCTTCACTCTTGACTATACACACTCCATTTTCCACCAGAATAAAATGATACAAATTACAGCACATGATTTCCTTGTTTGAAACTCCCTAATGGTTTCTAATTACACTGATAATAAAATTCAGATTTCCTCCCAACTTCTACCTTGGCTATTTCCTCTGTATTTTCTGCCCCTACATCTTCCTGAGGTGGCCCCTTCCTATGATTCCAACTCAGTTCACCTCCTCAGAGAAGTATTCCCTAATCAAACTAAATCAGTAGTCCCTAACTTTGAGATAGAGTCTGGGCAGCTATAATTTTTTTCTTCAGCTCCTCAGTTGGGACTGATATATAGGGATACTAAGAATTGCTGCACTAAACGAGTTTTGCTTTTGCTTATGATATTTTTATGCTGATTTTTTTAATATTATTTTTCAGTTTTCGGCGGACACAACATCTCTGTTTGTATGTGGTGCTGAGGATCGAACTCAGGCCGCACACATGCCAGGCAAGYGCGCTACCACTTGAGCCACATCCCCAGCCCCATATGCTGATTTATTTCTTGCTACTTCTCATTGCCTGTGGGTTGGAAAAGTGGAAAACTGACAGGTCTGAAGTGGTGAGAAAGAAATGCCAATCACTAGAAATCTGTACTAAATCACCACCAAAAGTCACACCTATCTGTTAAATGCAAGTTAATGTATATAAACTCTAGAGAATTTGTCATGCCTGTATCAATTTTTTTKTTGTTGTTGTTGTTCTTATTTCATGATTCTCAGCCCGGGATCAGAAAGTTGAAATTGTCAGAAAAATAATATGCTTTATCACCTCATGTTACCAAACCAGGACCATTTTGCCCACTGCACAGTATGTTAATCACTGACTTGACAAGTTTTGCAAAAGAGAGTTTATTCACATGATGGCCAACAGATATGAAGAGAGGGGAAACCTAAGGGTCAACCCTACAGCCTCAAGGATAGAACTGAGTAATATTTATAGGAATAAGCAAGGTGATTTAAGGAATGGAGGTGATTGGCGGTAAAGCAATCTGTGGTCTGTACACGTGTATCAATCTTCCTAGCCCTTCACAGGATGCATGTTCAGAAATGACAGTTAGCAAGATCTGAGGGTAGAGATTTTGACCCTCTAACATCAAAAGGCCACCCATCAGACACCTGCAAAGACCCAAGGGAAGAGAGTGGTTTCAACAAAAGCATTCTTGAAGCGCCTGGAAAGTAACTTCATGTGTCCCACAGGTCAGAGGTATTATTTATAGCAGAGCTAATGGGAGACTATTAATTACATATTGCTCAGCTGCAAATCAGTGATTTTTAAAATCAATTAAAAGCAAGTGAAAATAGAGTTTTGATCCAAGTTTTCCATGGTTTCATTCAGAACTGTCTTAACTTTGTGAGTAAAGATTGCCATTCTCGGGGCTGGGGTTATAGTTCAGTGGTGGAATGCTTGCCTAGCATRTATGAGGCACTGGGTTCAATTCTCAGCACCACAAATAAATAAACAAAAATTAAATATCCACGAACCACTAAAAAAAGTTAAAAAGAAAAAGACCGCCATTCTCTTTTCTAAGTCTTGGTAAAAATCTTCAATTTGATATAATTTCCTAACACTAATTATTAACTTTCTTCCACTATGAACTATGTAAGATAGGGGATTTGTCTATATTGCTCACTGATAAATTCCCAACTCTTAGATGATGTCTGATATAAAATCATGAATTATGTGATTATTCATTCAACAAATAGTTACCATGTGTTAGGCAGCATCCTAGACTTTGAGGATATAGCAATGAAAAAACAGCAAAAATCCTTGTCCTCTTACATACTAATGGGTAGCACAGACAAGAATAACAAGTATAATAAAAATAAGTGGCAAGAAGAAAAAAAATTTAAAAACTAATCTAAGGTAACAAAAGATAGACCAGTAGTTGCCTAGGAATTAGAGTAGAAGGACTAAAAGGGCCACAGACAGACTTTTAATGGGTGAGGGACATGTTCTGGTTCCTGACTGTGGTGGTAGTTTCACAGGTATACAGAACAACCAAAATTAATCAAGTTGTATACTTGGAACAAATAAGGTTTATTGTATGAAAATTATATTGCCTGGAATGTAAAGCAAGAAGCAGAAGACTGAACTTTTAAAAATATAGCCAATGAAGGCTTCATTAAAAATTTGATTTTTAAGAAAAGACATTAAGAAAGTGAATAAACTAGCATGCGGATATCTGGGAAGATCAACCCACAGGGGATAGTACTGGCCCTAATAAGATAATGTGTCTGGCATGTTCCAGAAATCAACAAGGAGGCCAATGAGTCTAGTTAGTATAGATTAAGGTAGAAGACTATTAATCTGATTGAGATAAGAAGCCACTGGAGTTCACATGAGAAGCCATGAATACATTATTGGACTTATGCTCTAATAGAGTCACTTTGGATACTGTGTGTTGAGAAAAGGCTGAAGAGCAGAAGCAGAGAAATCAGTTGGAAAGATGTTACTATAATCTAGGAGAGAGGTGATAGTGATTTAAACAGAGTAGTAAGTGAGAGGGTGAGTAGACAAATTTTAGACACATTATAAAACATACCCAGAAATATTTGATGAAAGGCTGGATCTGGATGTGAAAGGGGGAAAAAATAGAGGATATGAACTGGAAGAATGGAGGTACCACTAATTGAAATGAGAAAAAAACAAAAGAGGAGTAAGTTTGGGAGGTATATGAGGACCTGGTTTGGGGCATATTCAATTACTGATACATTTTAAACATTTAAGTAGAGTTCTCAAGTATGTCATAAAAACATATCTGGAATTTAGTGGAGAAATTTAGTTTGGGGTTTAAATTGGGCAGTCATCAGGGTATAGATGGTATTTAAATTAAATCTATGAAACTCCAATATCATTAATTAGCAATTAGGGAAATACAATCAAAACTACACTGAAATTACATCTCACAAAATGGCAGTCATCAAGAATACATATGGGGGGTGCTGGGGTTGTGGATTAGCTGTAGAGCACTCACCTAGCACATGCGGAGTGCTAGGTTCAATCCTTAGTGACACATAAAAATAAAATAAAAGTATTGTGTCCAACTACAACTAAAACAAAATACTTTTTTTTTTTTAAAAAAAGAATACATATAGGAGATAGGGCTGTGGCTCAGCAGTAGCGCACTTGCCTGGCATGTATGAGGCACTGGGTTGGATTCTCAGCATCATGTATAAATAAATAAAATAAAGGTCTATCAACAACTAAAAAAATATTTTTTAAATAAAGAATACATATAATAATAAATTCTAGAGAAGATGTGGAGAAAAAGGATCACTTATACACTGTTGGTGGACTGTAAATTAGTACAACCACTATGGAAATCAGTATGGAGGCTCCTCAAAAGACTAGGCATTCACCAAATGACCCAGCTATAACACTCCTTGGTATTTATGCTAAATAATTAAAGTCATCATAATATAGTGATACATGCACAATTCACAATAGCTAAACTAGAAAACCAGCCTAGGTGTCCGTCAATGAATGAACCAATAAAGAAAATGTGGTATATATACACAATGAAGTTTTACTCAGCCATAAACAAAAATGAAATTATGTCATTTGGAGGAAAATGGATAGAACAAGAGACCATTATGCTAAGCAAAATAAATCAACTTCAGGTCAAGAGACAAATGTTTTCCCTCATATGTGGAAGCCAGAGAGGAAAAAGGAAAAGAAAGGTGGAGGCGGATCTCATGGAAATCAAACAGAGATCAGCAGAAGAAAGGGACCAAGTATTGGGAGGCAGGGAGAAAGGGGATATTGCTGGGGAGTGATACTGGCCAAATTATACTGTTATATTGTGCACATGTAATGAATACGTAACAACAAATCCCATTATTATGTACAACTATAATGTATCAATTAAAAAAGAAACTAAAGAGAATATGTAAAGAAACCTACCAGGGCTGGGATTGTGATTTAGCGGTACAGCACTTGCCTAGTATGTGTGAGGCCCTGGGTTCGATCCTTGACACCACATAAAAATAAGTAAATWAAATAAAGGTATTGTGTCCAACTACAACTAAAAAATAAACATTTTTTTTTAAAAAGAAACCTATCAATTTTAAAAAATACATATCGTCATCATTAAGAAGAAAAGAAGGGGCTAAGGATATAGTGCAACAAAAAAAGAAGAAGGAAAAGGAGAAGGAGAAGAAGAAATAATTTTCTATTATAGGATATAACAGAAGCATTTGTTTCATTGTTTACCTAAAAATAAGTCTGATTATCTAATTTATCTAATTTAGTGATCTGGTTATTCTCTTACTAATTACCAGCTTCCCATCCCTGTCAAAATACATAAGTCAGGTCATTAAAAATCTAATTTGGCAGGCATCTGGAGCACAAACTGAATGACCTAAAGAAATATCATGCTAAGATTATCTGCTATAATGATTATCTATTTGCTGTACAGAACGCAAAGAAAGCACTGTTTTGCAAACAACCAAAATCAAATTGAGAAATATTTGTGAGCTCAAGGTCAAAGAGAGCATACTTGGGTCTTTAGGAACAACACATTAATGTAATTAAAATACATTGTCTTCTACATCTTACTGACCATAAAGATAACTGGGTAAAACTGTTTTGTTCTGTGTTGTTCAATATCAAATCTTGTTCTTTATTTAGTATCTCGACTATTGCCTTGGAGAGTTTGATCAAATGTCAAGAATTTTGAAATCTAACCAAAATGTAGTAGGAGGTAACTTCTGTACAATCACTTTAACCAATTCTGTTTTTCTGATCTGAGAAAACTGCAAATCCTGTGGCTGGTTCTAAACTCTGTCCATAATTATTAATATCCAAATTTTTAGATGATTCTACCTCTGAAAAGGAATTCAGGGTCTCTTCAATTATTTCTTTTATCTCTGCAAAGAAGAATGTCAAAATGCAATCTGAATGTATGGGCTAATATGTAATGGAAAATATAGTTTACAAAGATTGAATTGAAGTTGAACTCACCTGTCCACTTTTCCCAAATTCTAGCTCTATTATGGCAACAGGGGTGTGTATTTGAGATGAGTGCCTTGACTGAGACTTAGAATCAACTCTCCAGCTCAGGCCCCGAAGTCCATTGTCCCAACGGCTCTGGTTCATGAGGCTCTCTCGAATCTTTGTTTTGTGGCTCTTCCAGAATTTGGAAATGACAGCAGCCTGGTCAGATGTTATCCCACCTTGCTTTTTGGTTTGAGCAGTCAAAAATGCCTCCAGTTGGTTGAAATCCATGTCTGCAGATGCAATCGACTATAAAGATGTCAGAAAAAGCAATAAATTTGAATTTGGTAGATAACTAGAAAAAGAGCTTCTTAACTAGAGCATATTTTGAATGATTCTTAAGTACTGACTATTTCTTTCAAATAAGATCATCAAACAATAGTAATGAGAATGAATAGTGAGTATAAATACAAAAACACTCCCTTTGCAAATATCAAAATATCAGAAAAGCTACTATTCAAAATTCTATCATTCCAATTCTATATTAATAACTTGAATCTAACTTAAATACCCAGTTTCAGAGTGAGGAAATGAAATGAAAATTATTTTAAATAATAAAACAAAAATAAAATTAATCTGTTCTCTGATGCAATCTTATAGTGCCTTACGGATAGGCCTGATTTAAAAAAGTACAACTGTACAATGTATTCTTTTTTTATATGTATATAATGTATTATCCATAAGAAGTACTAAGTAAATGTTGTTAAGTGAAGCATTATTTTAGCTTTGCAGTCTATCTTCAGTGAAACAGCTCAGAAGCATTATTTTAGCTTTGCAGTCTATCTTCAGTGAAACAGCTCATTTGCAATACTACTCTGCAATTATATATGATCTTAATACTTCTCCTTATATTTTCAAAAGTTAATTGCCATTAAAGTTGGGTTCTCAATTCAAGCATCCAAGAAAACACAGTAAATAAATATAAGTTCAAGTTTAAAATTAAAAAGCCCTAAATTTGCACAGCAGTCTTTACTCTTTCAAAGCATTTTCACTTTTATTATTACAATTGAGTTCACCATCCATTTTCAAAGATAATGAGGTAGACAGAAGTAGGATTAGTTCCCTTTACTCTCAATTTATAGAAATGGAAATGGAAGCATAGAGGAACCAAATGATTTTCCCAAAAGTTCAGTAAGTGCAGAGTCAAAGTCTCCTAAATGCAAAGCCATGTTTCCCTCTAATTAGTTTTCATAAGTGACTACACAGAGAAGTAGATTCTGTATTACTTTCATTGAAAAATATCTAAACTGGCACTTTCTGTCAACAATAATTCAGAGACACCAGCACCTAAGGAGTAGATACAATGCTTTATTAATGGCCTTCAGAGACTATGAGACATGAGAGGAGAGTGATAGTTAATGATTTAATACCAGAGCAAACTTTCCCTTGCCTCTTCTTTGATAGGTTCCTACTCTCTCCTCTTTATGAGGGCTGATATRAATTCCAAATTAGAATATCCTCCTCTTTCTGGACACACTTATTGGTCCAAATCAATTTCCCAATTTAGAATAGGACAAATAGTCTTGTCTTTTGGGATAATAGTACCAGAAGGATGAGAGGCTGGGGTTGTCATTATCTTTGACCTCTGGGTATAAGCCTAAGTATGATTAAAAAAAAAAAAAGAAAAAAGCCATACATACACACACACACACACACCTATATATACACACATATATACACACACATATATATATATATGAAGCCAAGCAGAGATAAGAGTAGATCCTAATGTGCCAATATCTGTATTCTATAACTCCCATGGCCCTGGTTCCTGCAGGCATTCTTTCAATTTTGTACACTATATCACCTCTTTCCCACCTACAGGCACTAAATAAATATATATATCTCTATATACATACACACACACACACACACACACACACACACACACACACATATATATATATATATATATATAAAATTCAAGATAGTTTAAGTTGTAGTTCTATCATTTATAACCAAGAGTCTGACTAAAATAGGGCAGTAGCAGTAAGAACAGAGGAATGTAAAGGTACAGGTAGTATACGGATGGGTAAACTATGGCTAGGGCTGAAAAATAAACATACTGCCTTTCTTTTCTCCATTAGTATAAAAAACGTTATTTATTACAACTTTCTGGTAGATTAAAGATATTTCATGTTGCAACAAAAAAATGTTAATATCTCAGGGCTGGGGTTGTGGCTCAGTGGTAGGGTGCTCATCTAGTATGCACTAGGCACTGGGTTCGATCCTCAGCACCAAGTAAATGTAAAATAAAGATACTGTGTCCACCTAAAACTTAAGAATAAGTATTTTTTTAAAAATATTAATATCTGCCTATTTATCAGATATTAGGCCTAAAAACCTCTGGCTATGCCAACTCAATAGAAATATTAATTTATTTACATAACATACTATAATTAAATTAAACTATTTCCATTGGCAACTCACATCAGAATTCAGGTGGTTTGGATCATTCTTTTCCCCAAATTATATCAAGAAATATCTATTCTGATATAATTTTACCTGTGATAGAATTTATTTTGTTTTCTGAGGCAGGCTGAGGCAGCAGGATATCGAGTTCAAAGCCAGCCTCAGCAAAAGTTAGGTGYTAAACAACTCAATGAGAACCTCTCTCTAAATAAAATACAAATTAGGGCTTGGGATATGGCTCAGTGGTTGAGTGCCCCTGAGTTCATTCACCAGCACCAAAAAAAATTTTTTTTGA